GGGCGGGCGCCTCGCCTGCGCCCGCCTCGCCAGTGCAAGCTCAGCTAGTTTCCGCGGGGGCTGCGGCAGGGTCCACCCGGGGCGCCGCGGTCCACCCGGGGCGCCGCGACGCAGAGTATCCCTCCAACCCGGGAACCGTGCGCTGACCAGCCTGGATCCGGAGGAGGATGGAGCTCGGTCCTTTGCTTCCTGAGGGGCAGACTCGCTGCACATCCTACCGCCTCTGGGCTTCTCCACCTGGCTGCCTGCTGGTGACCCCAATACGGTCGTCATCCATTCGGTGCGTTTATGGAGCGCTTACTATATGCCAGGCTCCGTTCCAGGCGCTAGGGATATAACGATGAGCAAAACGAAAATCCCTGCTCTTGAGGAGCTTATGGTGGGTGCAGGTGGGGAAACAGACAATAAACCATAAGCATAACAAAATACAACAGCCTGGCTGTGTTCACAGCCGGAAAGAGACATGTGTCTCTCCCCGCAGCCGTTAGGTCAAAATCATGGAGCCTGAGGCCACCCATCCAGCACGGTATCCCTGTGTGTCCTCTGGGGCCACTCCTCTGTCACAGGGGATAGGCTCTCACCACCTCCTGCCTGGAACACTCTCCCTCCCTTGCATACTCAGCTGTTTCTTCTCTGGGGACCTACCCGATCCCATGGTTTGACAGGCCTCACCCTGCACCACAGCACTGCTCTCCTGGGTGGTGGTGCAGAAGTGCCCCACAAATGCTGTCTGGATTCCTAGCTCTGGCACCACCTGTGTGATCTTGCCATGTTCCTTGGCCTCTCTGTGCCTCTGTTTATTCATCTGTAAAATGAGGAAAACAGCTTCTGCCTCAAAAAGTTGAGATGAATGAGCTAATAAATGTAAAACACTTAGGACCTTGAGCCTTGATGCAGAGTGTGTGGTTACTAATATCTATGCCAGCCGGGCTCAGTGGCTCAGCCTGTAATCCCAGCACTTTGGGAGGCCGAGGTGAGAGGATTGCTTGAGCCTGCGGGTTTGAGACCAGCCTGGGCAACTTGGTGAGAACTCATCTCTACGATAAATCAAAAATTAGTGGAGCGTGGTGGCATGCACCTGTAGTTCCAGCTACTTGGAAGACTGAGGCGGTAGGATCGCCGGAGCCCAGCAGGTCGAGGCTGGGGTGGCCGTGAGTGTGCCACTGTACTTCAGCCTGGGCAACAGAGTGAGACTCCAACTAAAAAAACAAACAAAAAAAAACTATGCTGGTGTCTGTCTCCCTCCCAGACTACCTGATGGAGCTTAGATGGGAAGGTCCACCCTGGAAGGACCAGCTGAGTCAGCTCTGGGTCCCACGCGCTAGTGTCAGATAGCAGAAGGCTCTCAGACGATATCGGCTCAATGAATTCAGAGGTCCCTTCTCTACCACCATTCATTTACGGAGTGTCTCCTCGGCATGCCAGGAGCGGCTAGGAGCTGCAGAAGGAGCAGCTGAACAAGCCAGGGACCCCCAGCTCTGTAAGAAGACTCATTTCTACGCCAGAGATTCTCAACCTTGTTGGCCTAAGAAGCCCTTCATACCCCAAAATTCAGGATCCCAAAGAACTTTTGTGAATGGGTAATATCGATTGATACTTAACGTATTAGAAACTAAAACTGAGAAAAACGTGAAATATTTCTCTCCCGCGTCTGTAATCTCATCACTTTGGGAGGCGGAGACGAGAGGACTGCCTGAGCCCACGGGTTCGAGACCAGCCTGGGCAACTTGGCGAGACCGCGTCTCTACAATAAAAAGAAAATTAGCCGGGCGTGGTGGCGCGCGCCTTCAGTTCCTACTTGGAAGGCCGAGGCAGAAGGAACGCCTGAGCTCTGCAGGTCGAGTCTGCGGTAGCCGTGATCGTGCCACTGCACTCCAGCCGGGGGACACAGTCAGACTCCGGCTCAAAAAAAACCAGAAAGTGAGAATACCAACACTCTCCCCCAGCTTCTCCCACGCGGAGAGCAAGACCCGAGAGGCTTGACCAACCAGTCGGAGCTGGTTGTGGACGGCTTCCGGAAGAAGGCGTGGCCTGACTCGCAAGGGCCCAGTTGGGCTAGGACTGGGCAACAAATGTGTCCTTCTGCGCCTGGACCGCCTCCAGTTTCCGCCCCTCCTCCCGCGCAAATGTAAACCGCTGACGCATGCGTCCTCAGGAAGGAGGGCACTTCCGCCCGCCCACTCCGGGACCCTCCGTTCCCGCTCGGGTTTCCGTCGAAACGAAGTGGACGGCGAAGACGGAAGTGACGTGGACTCGTGGGCGGAGCTAGGCGCAGCAATGTCTGCTGCCTTGTTGCGGCGCGGCTTGGAGCTGCTGGCGGCGTCTGAGCGTGAGGAGGGCAGGGCAGGCCAGGGGACGCCCGGCGCGGGCAGAAGGGTGGCGGTGGCCGTGAGCGGGATGGCTGGGGAGGGGGGGCGGGGAACCGATCCAGGCCGGGCGTAGCCCCAGGAGATGGGGACGCGGCGCGCCTTCCGACCCGGGTTCCTCTCTTCCCCGGCAGCCCCCCGGGCCGCGCCAGGTCAGGCCGAGCCGAGCCGGGCTCCGACGAAGCGGGCCCGGAAGGCGAAGGCCACCCAGGCCCAGAAGCTTCGGAACTCGGCCAAGGGAAAGGCGCCCAAATCTGCACTGGGTAAGTACGGAAGAGGCTGTAAGTGCTGCCCTGGAGGAGGTGACGCTTGAGGCAGGTCTCGTGCTGTGTCCCCGGCGCGGAGCAGGGTCCTGGACATGCGGGGGTGAGCCAAGCACACCGCCCCGGCCCTCCCGGACCCTAGTGGGGAGAGAAGCATCAAAAAATCTCACACCCAGCGTGTAATTGCTAAGTGCGTTGAGGCCTATGAAGTTAAAAACTACGGTGCACTGATGGGGACTTTAAAAGAGGGCCCAGTCAGCCTTCTCTAGAAAGCGACATTATAGCTGAGGTCCCGGCGAGAAGTAGAAGAGTATTCCAGAACGAATGGCATGGGCAGAAGTTCTTGAGTCAGAAAGGAGCTTGTTGCCTTTGAGAGTTTGAAAGAAAGAAATCTGGTTGAAGGTGACATATAGTGAACAAGGGTCACAAATGGACATTTAACAAAGTTTAATGCTCTGTGTGCTGGGTGTTAATTCTAAGAGCTGTACAAATATTAATTCATCTAGTCCTCACAGCAGCCCTGTGAGGTTGATATATTATCACTCCCTTTTTACAGATGCAGAAACAGACACCTGCCCATGCAGTACAGGTAGAAATCAGGCAGTGAGTCTCCAGAGTCCTGCTATTACCTGCTCCATTTAAGTAAGAGATGCTAGCTGGGTGCAGTGGCTTGTGCCTGTAACCCCAGAACTTTGGGAGGCCAAGGCAGGAGAATCTCTTGAGCTCAGGAGCTTGAGACCACCCTAGGCAAATGTAACAAGACCTGTCTCTGCTTTTTTTTTTTTTTGAGTAGGAGTCTCACTCTGTCGCCCAGGCTGGAGTGCAGCGGCATGCTCAAGGCCACCCCGGTCTCCACCTGCTGGGCTCAGGTTATCCTTCTGCTTCAGCCTTCCAAGTAGCCAGAACCACAAGCGTGTGCCACCATACCTGGCTAATTTTTTTATTTATTGTAGAGACAAAGTCTCACCAAGTTGCCCAGGCTGGTCTCAAATACCTGGACTCAGGCAGTCCTCTCGCCTCTGCCTTCCAAGTTGCTGGGATTACAGGCGTGAGCCACTGTGCCCCGCTAGACCCCATCTTTAAAAAAAAAAAGTGGGAAGTGGGAGATGCTGTGGCCTGGGCAGTGTTGATGGCTGCAGAGACAAGAGACTTGTACAGGTAGAAGATGCACTGAGGGAGGGGCATCGATGGGCTCTAGTAGTGACTGGTTGTGAAGGTGGAGTCTAGTTTCTAGGAGAGCATCTTGGAGGATGTGATGTCATCTAATGAGAAATAAAGACTTAGGGAAAGGCAGCTGTGGGCAGGGTGGTGATGATTTGACATATGTCCAGACTTGGTGAGCTCCTAGTGTGTCTTTGAATCTCTAGGGCCTGATGAATAAAAGGTGTTCATGTATTTGTTAAAAGATTTGTGAATTCCAAGGAGGAAACACAGCATGAGCAAAGATTTGGAGGCAGGAAAGTGAGATACATTTGAGCCCCAGTGATACTTGCCTTGAAGCAGAAGCATAGGGTCCAGAGGTCACCATCATTCAGCCCTCCCCTCATCTCACCACCCTGTTACTAGTGTTCACTGCCTCCTCCGTTGACCTGGAAGCTCCTTGAGGCACAGAGCTTCCTTGGGCTTGTCTGTGCTTCTGGTCTCCAGCCCAGGCTCTGTGCTTAATTGATGAGAGAGAGGAACGGCAAGCCTCTGCAGCTGGTACTGAATATATAAATACCTCTGCAACTGCCATCTTGGTCTAAGCCATGTTGTCTCTCGCCTGAATCATTGCAGAAGCCTTACTGGTCTCCTGTCTTCCACACACCCTCTCCCCTAGTAATCTCGTTCTTAGTGGTGGCCAGAGTGGTCCCATAAAATCATAAGTCAGACTTCATTTCTCTCCCCACCCCCTCCTATGGCTCCACCTGTACTGGGTAAAAGCTGGAGTTTTATTGGGGGAGGGTTGTTGGTTTGTTTTTGAGTTGGAGTCTCACTCTGTTGTCCAGACTGGAGTGCAGTGGCACGCTCCCGGCCTG